ACACTTAATATGAATATAAATTCATGCTTCTTAGTCATGCTTAAAAGGGAGGACATTTTGAGATTCCTCCTGGACAGAAGTTCAAAATGTAGGATGCACAAATGTAGATTTGTTCAGAGGGGGTTGCCATTGCCTTCTGAGGCTGAGAGAATAATTTGTCCAAGGTTACCCAGTGGATTTCTGTGGCTTCATGGGGAATTGAATCCTGATCTCCCAGAGGACTAGTCCAACACTCAAACCATCACACCACACTGGTGTCCCAAACACAACAAATCTGTTACAGGATTTTCTATGCAAGATTTGTTCAGAGGGGTCTCCATTGACATCCTCTGAGACTGAGAGAGTGTGATTTGCCCAGTCAGACAGTGGGTTTCTTGCCTGACCAGGAAATTGAACCCTCGTCTCCTGAGCCATAGTCCACCATTCAAACTGCTACACCACTCTGGCTCCTGTTGGCCATATAGCAAAGTACAGTAACATCCAAAATCCTCAAAATAGTAATATTCAGCCACTGGTGTTAGGGCTGCATTTGCACTGCAGAAATAATCCAGTTTGGTGCCTCTTTAACTGCCAGGGCTGATTGCTATGGGATCCTGGGATTTGTAGATTGGTGAGATATTTAGCCAGAGAGCTCCGGTGCCACAAGAAACTACAATTCCCAGGATTCCCTAGCAGAGCCAGGACAGTTAAAGTGGTCTCAGACTGAATTGTTTCTGCAAGGTGTTTTGGACCTCTGACTTCAGCTGCAGTCCTGCCCCAGAAGTCCTGTCCCCTGGAAATCCCACCCCTGGCACCCAGTGACACTCGGTGCAGGAATGCCACTGAGATTGAGCACTTGGTCTCTAACAGGTTCTCCATCACTGGTCTAGATCAAGGGAAGCAATAGAGCCACTCTATTCTGCTTTGGTCAGACCTCATCTGGAATACTGTGTCAGGTTTTGGGATGAACTATTGAACTTATAAACATAAGAAATTGTGACTTTACTGGTTCTAGCTATGTATTAGAAGAAGGGCTAGATCATATAGCCCTGCACCCATTACATGCACATCAGGTTGACCCACTACTAGCATCTATATGTATGGTGTAAATGTCGGTAAGGTGGGCCTGGCTTATGTGCAGGCCTTTGTGCACACAAAGTATGTGTGAAGCCTGTCCCTACAGTTCTCCATGCTATATGCACAAATATAAGGAGTGGGTTACATGGTATGCAGTACATGATGGAAGAGGCTATTCAGTGTATCCCTGATCCTTCCTCACATGGAGAATTTTTCATTTTTAATAATGCATGAATGGGGATATTGTCTATATAAAAGCAGGGAAGGGGAGCCTCCATCTTCTCATGTTCTTATCTCTGATCAGTGATATGAAGGTTATCTGACCTAAGTTGCAGTTGCACAGGATTGAGCTCTATTTGGCAGTGTGGGAATGTTCGCATGGAACTAAGCTATGTGCCATAGTCTAGGAAGCTGTTGCACTGGAGCTTACTCCTGAGCAAAGACACATACAATGGAACTTTGCTTTGCATGTTTAGAGGGCAAATGTTCCAATTAATAAAAGTTTACATTTTCCTTAGTCCATTCATTGTGGGACTGCACCTCCCTAAATCCTTCCCAGATTCAGGCCCTAGCCTTTAGAAGTCCCACCCACTCTGCAGAACACTCCTCACACGTGTCTTTCACATTACAGAATTATAGCAGTATGATACCAGTTTAACTGCCATGGCTCCATTCTATGGGACTCTGGGATTTATAGTTTCACCAGGTTTTTAGAATTTCTGCTAGTGAGCTGTAGAGCCTTACAATGGTACAGCTCACAGGACTCTGTAGGATGCACCCATTGCAGTTAAAGGCAAAAGTGTTATGAATGTAGTGTGGAACAGACAACATATAAGGCAGTGATGGAGTACATATGCTATATATTATTTCCCTTTCCCCAACACAGTGTCCTTCATGTGGGATTATAGGAGTTGTAGTCCAGCACATCTGTAAGAGTACCAGATTGGGGAAGTTGGTATTAAAACACAGAAGGAAAAAGAAAAAAAGCAGTGTATTGTTCATATAAATTGGATCACATAAATATGGAAACAATCAAAGAGGCATGCTGTGTTCACACATTCCAGAACTTTCTCCTTATGTGTATTCCAGAGGATTAAAGTAGACAGGATGTAAGAGTTCAGTGATCAGGTCTCCTAACATAATGATTTATTTTTCACATTTAAAGGTTTTCTGTAGAGACAGAACTGGTTAAGGGCCATAGCAAAGTAGGAAATGGGATTGCCTCCTCCTCATGTGTGACATTTCTTTAATTTCCATCACACACACTGCAAAGCTGCTCTCTTCAGAGAGAAAAGACTCAGGACAACACAACTTAGAATTTGAGAGATCTAAACATTGCATCCCTCTTCCTAAACAAGAGAAATTTAAAAGTTGAGAGGTCCATAGTCATTTTTAGCCTGCACCACCCATCCTTTTCTTGGTTAAAAAGTTGCTTTTGACAATTTCAGGCTACAATGGTCCAAGAAAGGCAGTAAGTTGGCACAAGCTGCTCCTCTCTTAGGAGTATGAGACCTGGATGGTAAATTGCCAAGCACTAAGATTACTACAAATCAAATAAACAGGGTTCAAGCTGTGTTTAGAGGAGCACGGTTGGTAGTCAGGCTGAATATTTATCTTTCATGTCCTTCTGGTTTGGTTATCTTCTTTTGTTTGGTTTTGAGAAATTATGGCCCAATAATTAGCATTTGATAGTTAGCATTTTCAGTTCAATGAGAAGAGAAGCTCGGATCCGCTCCTGCACTCCCTCAAAAGTCAGTGGGAGTTTTGCCACGGAGGTAAACGGGAGCCAAACCACAACAGGCCACTCTTATTAGGCAATATTTATTTCCAGCTGTGAAGCAGAAGGTCACAATTAAGGCAAGATCACATAATAAAAAGCACACCCTGTCCTGTCCACCTGTTTAGATTTGTCTGGTCATACCACAATGTAACACTGATTTTTGAGTCACCGCAGACAGAATGTCATGGGATGGAAAAGAGCAAAAGGAAAGTCAAAAGGGGTTGATTTTGTTCACTGAGAATCAAAGAGCTATGGCTGGAAGCCTTGAACAGGAAGAACGTTTATGACTAATTTATTCAAGCCTCAATTGCCCATGCATCCCACTTTACAGGATTTATAGTATTTCATTGGACAGGAATCGGTGGCATGTAGCCTTATCTAGCTTATGAAAAGCCCAGAGGATGCCTCTGCTCTCCAGGATAATCCATGACCTGCACTGTGGGGATGCACGCCACTAGCCTTTTCAAATAGAGAAGTGAGCAGCTCATGGATGGATCCAGTGATTAGCTCTGATCATTGTCCAGAGAAAAAAGCAGCATTGCCCTGTATGCTATTTCTAACTGGGATTCATGGTCAGAAAAGAGAGCAGGATTCCACTCCACCTTCTCACTCTTCTGACAGAGAAAGTGATTAGAGTAAAGAGATTGCTATTGCCATCAAATGAGAATTTTCTGCCCCTCTTTCACGGAGAACCTCTGAACTGTCAGCCTTTATACCTTTTGCCTACCAGAACAAAATAGTTTTCCACTCCTGTTGTACTTGAAGGGGTGTCAGAGAACCATCCTCTGGCAATGTACTATATTTGAATGGGTGATCAGTCAAATTTAAAGAACCTTATGAAGGGAAAGTAGGGACCTTGAACTTGCCCATTAGTAGTGAGCACCTGAACAGCAGACTCAACAAACATGCACAGGTCACCTGATCACTACCTTCCCTTCTATGGTGAAATGTGTTGTATTTATCAATGATAATAAATTATGTCAGAGCCAGTGTGGCATAGTGGTTTGAGTGTTGGACTACCACTCCGGAGATCAGGTTTCAATTCCCCACTCAGTCATGAAACCCACTGGGAGATCTTAGGCTAGTCCCATGTTTTTAGTCTCAGGGGAAAACAATAGCAAAACTCCTCTGAACAAATCTTGGCAAGACAACCCCATGATGGGTTTGCTTTAGGGTAGCTATAAAACGGAATCAACTTGAAGGCACACAACAATAATCATGTCAAAACCTCCCACTGTACTTATTAATTAGTATGTTCAAATTATATTTGAGATATTTTAACTGTTGGGATTGTGCTGGTTCATTTGTTATGGCAAATTATTTGACGAACCT